TCGCTTATCTGTTAGTGGTGTCCATTCATCGAATATCACATTTGTTGTGTTTGTGTATGTTATGTTGAATTTTTGTGTAAAATGTGCAAGTAGTAATTGGAGTGAGGTTGCCTAATGTGGATGGCTTGTAGGGTGCGTGTATGGGAGAGAGTGAGCGATGGCGGATGATGAAGATGGTATTTGTGTTTGACGTTGATTTGTTTGTACTGTGTATCACAGGAGTGTTAATCTTTCAGAGATGTGTGGTGATTGTTGTTTGTGGACAACGTGAATTGTGGTTGAGTGTTTTGTTTCGCTTAATAATAGTTGGGTTGAAGAAACTGTTTATTTTTCTGAGGTGGTGTGTCGCGAACGCCAAAGGGTTAGCTGGTCGTTTAGTTAATTGTTGTTCTGTGAACAGAGGAGTGTAGTGTGAATGTTTTGTGGAGAGACGTCTGACTAATATGTGTTGTTGATTTCTTCATGTGTAGATGCGGAGCTAAATAATGTAGTGATTATTGGAGAGTGTTGTTGTCGTGTGTGTGTGTGTGTGTATGCATGTATGTCAGTGATATTGGTGATGTTAGTTGTGCAGATGCGTCATTTTGTCTTGTGAAATGCTTGTGTAACATTGACTGGTTGTGTTCTGTAGTTAAGATGTGGGAGTGTGAGTGGGGAATAGGATGACCGTGGTGATGAGAGTATTTCTGAATAGTGTGTAGACAGTGTTAGTTGTGGTAGATGTCCATCGAGATATCTGTAGTTTTCGTTTCGGACGATAGTATTCGCATATGGAGTATATTGATAGTTAGTGTTATTTGTTCCTTTTTACATCGGACGTGAGTGATTAGTGGTGTTGGTGATTTTGTGTACGGTGGTTATTGACTAATCGAGTAGATATTGTGTTTGTGTGATTTAGTTGTGTGTTGTATTACACTGGGATTTTATGTTTGGATAGTAATGTTGGGACTTTAGTGGTGTGATAAGTTGTTTGTATTTGATGATTGATCGTTTACAGGTGTTTGCAGTGAGCTTGCTTTCGACATACTTTTCTTCGCGTGTTCGACACTGCATAGATAACTTGTCCCTTTATAGATTGGTGGATGTGTCTCAAAATGAGAAAAAATATTTTTGCGTATGTATGTATGAGAATAGATGATTGTGTTTGTTGGATTGCCTGAACGATGTGCATGAAGTTTGGTTGTTTGTGGAAATTTGTTGACCATGGGTGGTCATATGGACGTGTCCATAATCTAATACCCTCAGTAGACATTCTGCGGGATTCGCTGATGGACTAAATGAATAAGTTGACCGTTGAGTCGATAGACATTGTCATTCTCGACGGATACGGTACACGATTATATTTGTATGACTGGAGGATGTTTCGTGTTGATGACGAGTTGTCAGTTGGAATTGAAGTTTCTTAAATATATATATATATATATATATATATATATGCTTGATTATTTAGTTTTTTTTTCTGACGGGAATTGAAGAGTTCTGAATGTGTGTGAATGTTTGCCGAGTGTAAGTGAGCACACTCCGGAGGTCGAGATAGTAATTTATCTTTGTCCAAACTGGGTAGTGCAACATCGAGTATTCCACTGTCACATCTATGTCGGTGGTGTCCATTGATTTACAAATAAATTTGTTGTATTGGTTTGTTGAATTTGTTGTGTTTAGTCTTATGAATATGGTGTTAAAATATTTGATGTTGTGCTTTGTGGAGTGTATATGGATGTGCCTGAGTGGTTTTGTGTAGTTGATTGTTTGGTATTGGTGAGCACACTCCGGAAGTGGAGATAGTAATTTATCTTTGTCCAAACTGGGTAGTGCAACATCGAGTATTCCACTGTCGCTTATCTGTTAGTGGTGTCCATTCATCGAATATCACATTTGTTGTGTTTGTGTATGTTATGTTGAATTTTTGTGTAAAATGTGCAAGTAGTAATTGGAGTGAGGTTGCCTAATGTGGATGGCTTGTAGGGTGCGTGTATGGGAGAGAGTGAGCGATGGCGGATGATGAAGATGGTATTTGTGTTTGACGTTGATTTGTTTGTACTGTGTATCACAGGAGTGTTAATCTTTCAGAGATGTGTGGTGATTGTTGTTTGTGGACAACGTGAATTGTGGTTGAGTGTTTTGTTTCGCTTAATAATAGTTGGGTTGAAGAAACTGTTTATTTTTCTGAGGTGGTGTGTCGCGAACGCCAAAGGGTTAGCTGGTCGTTTAGTTAATTGTTGTTCTGTGAACAGAGGAGTGTAGTGTGAATGTTTTGTGGAGAGACGTCTGACTAATATGTGTTGTTGATTTCTTCATGTGTAGATGCGGAGCTAAATAATGTAGTGATTATTGGAGAGTGTTGTTGTCGTGTGTGTGTGTGTGTGTATGCATGTATGTCAGTGATATTGGTGATGTTAGTTGTGCAGATGCGTCATTTTGTCTTGTGAAATGCTTGTGTAACATTGACTGGTTGTGTTCTGTAGTTAAGATGTGGGAGTGTGAGTGGGGAATAGGATGACCGTGGTGATGAGAGTATTTCTGAATAGTGTGTAGACAGTGTTAGTTGTGGTAGATGTCCATCGAGATATCTGTAGTTTTCGTTTCGGACGATAGTATTCGCATATGGAGTATATTGATAGTTAGTGTTATTTGTTCCTTTTTACATCGGACGTGAGTGATTAGTGGTGTTGGTGATTTTGTGTACGGTGGTTATTGACTAATCGAGTAGATATTGTGTTTGTGTGATTTAGTTGTGTGTTGTATTACACTGGGATTTTATGTTTGGATAGTAATGTTGGGACTTTAGTGGTGTGATAAGTTGTTTGTATTTGATGATTGATCGTTTACAGGTGTTTGCAGTGAGCTTGCTTTCGACATACTTTTCTTCGCGTGTTCGACACTGCATAGATAACTTGTCCCTTTATAGATTGGTGGATGTGTCTCAAAATGAGAAAAAATATTTTTGCGTATGTATGTATGAGAATAGATGATTGTGTTTGTTGGATTGCCTGAACGATGTGCATGAAGTTTGGTTGTTTGTGGAAATTTGTTGACCATGGGTGGTCATATGGACGTGTCCATAATCTAATACCCTCAGTAGACATTCTGCGGGATTCGCTGATGGACTAAATGAATAAGTTGACCGTTGAGTCGATAGACATTGTCATTCTCGACGGATACGGTACACGATTATATTTGTATGACTGGAGGATGTTTCGTGTTGATGACGAGTTGTCAGTTGGAATTGAAGTTTCTTAAATATATATATATATATATATATATATATATATGCTTGATTATTTAGTTTTTTTTTCTGACGGGAATTGAAGAGTTCTGAATGTGTGTGAATGTTTGCCGAGTGTAAGTGAGCACACTCCGGAGGTCGAGATAGTAATTTATCTTTGTCCAAACTGGGTAGTGCAACATCGAGTATTCCACTGTCACATCTATGTCGGTGGTGTCCATTGATTTACAAATAAATTTGTTGTATTGGTTTGTTGAATTTGTTGTGTTTAGTCTTATGAATATGGTGTTAAAATATTTGATGTTGTGCTTTGTGGAGTGTATATGGATGTGCCTGAGTGGTTTTGTGTAGTTGATTGTTTGGTATTGGTGAGCACACTCCGGAAGTGGAGATAGTAATTTATCTTTGTCCAAACTGGGTAGTGCAACATCGAGTATTCCACTGTCGCTTATCTGTTAGTGGTGTCCATTCATCGAATATCACATTTGTTGTGTTTGTGTATGTTATGTTGAATTTTTGTGTAAAATGTGCAAGTAGTAATTGGAGTGAGGTTGCCTAATGTGGATGGCTTGTAGGGTGCGTGTATGGGAGAGAGTGAGCGATGGCGGATGATGAAGATGGTATTTGTGTTTGACGTTGATTTGTTTGTACTGTGTATCACAGGAGTGTTAATCTTTCAGAGATGTGTGGTGATTGTTGTTTGTGGACAACGTGAATTGTGGTTGAGTGTTTTGTTTCGCTTAATAATAGTTGGGTTGAAGAAACTGTTTATTTTTCTGAGGTGGTGTGTCGCGAACGCCAAAGGGTTAGCTGGTCGTTTAGTTAATTGTTGTTCTGTGAACAGAGGAGTGTAGTGTGAATGTTTTGTGGAGAGACGTCTGACTAATATGTGTTGTTGATTTCTTCATGTGTAGATGCGGAGCTAAATAATGTAGTGATTATTGGAGAGTGTTGTTGTCGTGTGTGTGTGTGTGTGTATGCATGTATGTCAGTGATATTGGTGATGTTAGTTGTGCAGATGCGTCATTTTGTCTTGTGAAATGCTTGTGTAACATTGACTGGTTGTGTTCTGTAGTTAAGATGTGGGAGTGTGAGTGGGGAATAGGATGACCGTGGTGATGAGAGTATTTCTGAATAGTGTGTAGACAGTGTTAGTTGTGGTAGATGTCCATCGAGATATCTGTAGTTTTCGTTTCGGACGATAGTATTCGCATATGGAGTATATTGATAGTTAGTGTTATTTGTTCCTTTTTACATCGGACGTGAGTGATTAGTGGTGTTGGTGATTTTGTGTACGGTGGTTATTGACTAATCGAGTAGATATTGTGTTTGTGTGATTTAGTTGTGTGTTGTATTACACTGGGATTTTATGTTTGGATAGTAATGTTGGGACTTTAGTGGTGTAATATGTTGGGGATCATTGCTTAATATTTTTCTGGTATTTATTTAAACGGATTGTTTTAGTCAGTATATGTGGAAATTATATTTGAAATTATTTAAGGGATTGAAATTTAAATAATTCCATGCTTTTACCCAGCTAACTTGTCTGGACGTCTTCAGCGTAGTAATCATTTTTTCGTGCACTGTTTTCTTTTTCCAGTAGGTTATTTTCTTGTCACGATTGTAATCTTTTGCTTTTTGTTTATATTCATCACTTCATCTTGTAGTCTTTTTTCCGTTACTAATTTTTGTTTTTACTGCTAGAGTATATATCGAAATTTTCGTCACATTTTGCACTTATTTTTTCTTTACATTTTGGTTTTATTATTTTCAGCTTAAAATGAATTCGGCTTGGCGGACAATAAATTTTAATTTAAATAATCGCTTCAATTTCCATTTCTCATTGTGGTGTAATGTCAACAATGCTGAAGATATCCAAACAAAAATACATTCAAAACAATTTCCCACCCTTACAAACGCTGTCGTTGTGTTAATTGATGGTGATGTCATCATCGATATAGTTCAGGTTGGTTATGTGCTATATTTTCTCACAAATAAATATGACAGTACTACTTATTTGTACCATTCATTAATCTTCATTTGTTTTTTTTAACCTTTATACGCAATTTATCGTTTTCTAGCAGTCAATTTGTGTAAACTATATCTTTTGTCCCCCTTTTAAACTTTACCCATTATGAATGGGTGTTCTAATTGTTGTCTCTTGCTCTTGATCAAACTTTTGACGACGCTTATTATCACCGTCGATTATTTTCAGCTATTAGGGATTGATCTATCATATGTTTAATAGTAATGATTAACATTGTTTCATTATCATATCGTTCATATTTTTGATTAGTTTCTACCATTAGTACTAAATATTATCAAGTTGCATCTGGGATTTAGTGATTTAATCATTCAGCTTCACTTTTTATGACCATAGTTTTGAGTTCCATTGTTCTTTTTTTTCAATCGCTTTATTTATTTAATTTCAGTTTTCCTTCACTGTCACTTATATTTAGATTTGTGAATTTGCATGGAGTGTTCCAACGTTTGATATTTTACCACCCGAATCTATAATGCAAACAAATATTGTTGAATGATGCTAAATTTGCTTTTTCTTTGAATTATATCGCTTTTCTCATGTAAATGTTTATGATATTATTATTATTTAAAGATATATCTCAACAAGTGAAAAATAAACATAGATTGTTCGTCTTCAAGGTTTGTGACTAAGTTTGAGGTAATTCTCGATGTTCTCGTAAAAGGCCATTACCTGTGGAGTTAAATTATGTCGGGTATGAGGCAGTTGCCGAGCAACGGCATTGGAAGATGCCTGTTTAAAGTTAAGAATGTAGACTTTCGGATGCTACCTCAGTGGTTAAGCATTTGTCATCACAGATGAAATTCCTAGGTTAGCTCCGTGGAGGGGTCGTGCGTACACACTGACAAAGCAGCTCGACAGTACTTTTCTGTTTCCAACAGTTGTGTAACTAAAATCAGTCAGTAAAGTAAACTGTTGTAAAATGGTACGTGACGGCCAACGTTTTTGCGATTTGCTATAAAGGTCATTGTTCTCCTTATTTTGATTTGAACAAAATATGCAGTTAGCTTATTTATCAATAAGTATTGCATCTTGATATATTTATTGATTTCAAAATTTTTATTTACTTATTAGTCTGTTAATCAATCTTTAATATCATTTCATGATGATAATCTTTGGGAAAATTAAATCGTCAGCTTCTTAATTGTTCAGTATTTTTACCTGAATTATGCCCGACGTTTATGACCTAGATCTTTATGAATTTTACCAATCTAATAACGATTTTTTACACATCCATACTTTTAGATAGAGGCCGCTATTACCCAAGCTTTAATCCATTATAACGATGAATCTTCGGGTGGAATGTATACACGAGGGTTGGCTACCGAGATTCTATATTGCCTTAGCCCAAACCGATCGATTACTCATGCGCTGGATACATTTGGAATTAAAGCATCTACTAAAGAACTAATTGTAGGGATCATTTATTCCACAGATGTTTATCAACCAAATGATGCAGTTTTACAAGGCTACTTATCACAAATTGTAAATACAATTCAAGGTACAATAAATACTGGTTCATTGACACAGTTGGTCAAGAACACTGATAAAGTTTGTCAAGAATATGGAATAACAAACTTAGAACGAAGTTTAATCAATAAGTCCGATGATCCTCACAGATCTTTACTTGAGAGTATCTAAGTCGCATGGCATCAAGGGATCTTTTCAGATCTTGAAAATACGAATAATTGAATGACATAATTATACTGATAATCTTTATTTTGTATAAATTAATTTTAATGTAACATACTGTTCTGTAAATATACATATGACAATTATCGTTAGTGCTTTATTGACATAAAACTAAGATAATTTACCGGTGACCTTTGTCTTTTAAAAATTCAGAAACAATGGGTAATTGTTAATTTTTCTTGTAGTCTAGTATGAAAAAAGGACATAGTTATTAGACCGCGCTTAAAACCATTAAAGGGAAATTTAAAGGAACAGTTATATCGATCTTCTATTTTCCATAGGTTTTCAACGATATACATCCACATCGTAAAATCTGTCTTTTGTTTTAAGTGAAAGCAAATGTGTAAATGTTTTAGAAAGCATAATACACTAACACGTTTTTAGATGTGTTTGTCAAAGATAGCCTATTAAAGTAGATTATAATAGTCAAACAAATCAATTTCATTCTTTTAGTCTGTAGTTTGATATTTATTAACATTTCTTTATCAATTTGCTTGCAAATTGTAAATATTACTTCTAAATAAACAGGAGTAATTTTCATTTTTATATATAGCTGGCCATGAGTAACAGTATTTAAACCAGTCAGCTCAATTATTAAGCCATAATTCACAGGTTATCATTCATAAGGAAATTTCGACCAATGACTTCTAATTTGTTCTTGTGGAAAAAAGATCACTGGACTTGAATAATATTAATATATTGGGTCTTTAAAGAGTCACTCGAAGATGATGAAACCATTTCGAGATTAGATATAAAGCTACAAGTGAGTGATGTGGGTTATTGGATGACTTGGTAAATTCTTATCTATGTAAGTATACAATGCATCCCAATACCTACGCTCTACTGCAGCAATATCAAATTATGAGTTCACTTTACAGTCAGAATAAATACCCATATTTCTTTTTAGACTATGTGATACAGAGTATTGCATTGTAAGTGTTGATGCTATCATATGTTACGTGCTTATTTAAACGATTTCTAATCTTCCATGGATTTTTAACAAAACATCACTACTGATCTGAAGTGTTACATGAATAGTTGATACGTCATCCAATGTAAAATTATATATATATTCTATGTAGGTAACCATAAAATCAGTGATTTCATACATGTTCTTTGTTTTATAAGTTCTTGCATAACATGAAAACTAATCGTAGCCAAAGAATATGAATTCATTAATTTTGTAAATTCCCTCTAGTCACTTGTATCCTAAGGACAATAATACTAAGAATAAGTGTACATATTTTATATTGAATTTAAAGGGAAGTCTTGATTAGGGTTACAGTTGAACCAAATGGTAGCTTTTAAAAAATTAAATAATTGGGACAATTAAAAGATCATTTCTACAAATATTCCTGACGAGAAGACTGAGATCGTAGACAGAAATGTAAAATTAGTCTTATAGGTTACCCAATACTAAATACAGAAAAGATTGGTTAGTTGAGTAATGTTCAAGCAATAAATCAGAGAAAAGGAACGTGGTTGATGGTATAATATACGATATTATCCGTCTCATTATTATGATACTGCACAGATGCTGAGTAATGTTGATTACAGTATCCTTTTTGATGGATTAGTTTGGTTTGAATCTTCTGACAGCAGTAGCTTTAAAAAGTGCAATACTTTTAAAGTCATTAACCTATTGATTATGCTGAAAGGATTTAGAAAGTTGTGTTCGGTACCAAATAATACTGAAAACATAGTTTCATTTTAATCTTCATTTTTCTGGAACGTTCTCAGAGATGCAAATAATGTTTCTCATTTCTGTTCTTCCAACCTGAGTGCTTTATCAGTTACGTATGAACCGGCAGACTCAATTCCACGTAACACGGTGTGGAAATGTACCCACGGTTGACTGTCTCAGAGTGGAGGCGGCTAAACCGTTGGTTATCGATTTTTCAACATAGCTTCTAATCGAAAATTAATCGTCCTAGCTTCCTCACTCTTACAGCCAAGTTTTGGAAACAAAATCTTTTAAGGACCGTAGCATACTTTGTTTCTATCTTTCCATAAATTTACAACTCAATCAACTTTGACTATGATCAATTCCTGTTCATCTTTTTCTTCGTAACATGTTTTCAGCTATCTGTTTTTTTTGAAAAATCAATCGGAAACTTGAGTTGAGTCACCTACAATAATCTTAACTTTACTTACGCAAGTTTTCCTATCCATCGTAAAGACCGCATAGTCCCTATCACAATGGAGAATGGCAATATTTTAAATATACACTACGTTTCGTAATGCCTCTTGATGATTCCTAGGTAAGACCTTGAGCTGTGTGGTGTCATGATGCAATATATTGATTTGCTAAATCAACTATTCGCGAGCAATTTCTTCTACGAAGGTAATTGCAATAATGAATACAGTAATTATTACAAGTTCATGTAAATACGACAAATAACCTACGTTCAGAAATTATGGGAAATAAAAATAGTTACTCAATATTTAGCAGTAGTATAAGACAATAAGAATCAAAAGAAAGTAAGGATGGGATGCAAACGTACTTAAAACTATGAATATATGGAACATTAGATAAATACTATGTTTTCCGTTATCTTTTGTTTTATATTCTCGTTGTTATTATTGACTTTTCCATCATTTTTGTTATTTGCTTTATATAAAAGTTTATAAGGTCGTAATAATAAGTAGATTCTTTGTTATATCCAAGTGAGTAGAAAATTGTATTTCTTATGTTTCGTGACTTGATGTGGTTCACTTCTTCAGAGTAACTAAATATTCGAAATAAAATTAACGCAACCCTAAACAGTACCATGGAAACAATTTAGAATATAAGAGTATTCTTTCTACAAGAAGCTTGGCCAAGCAATTATTTTTAGACTGTCTGTAGGATCTAACATGTAACAACCATATCTTTATATCTTAACTGAATCCTTTCTCAACCATTACTGATCGTCGTAACTCAATAGGGCTAATTTTTACATAATTTTAAATAGCATAACCGATTACCAGATTGTACCCCCCGGTTCTACCACCACGATCAGTGCCTTTATTTTATTCGGTATCTCGACTTATGTACTAACATCTGAACCAAATGCTTCTCTACAGTGACGCTTGTAAAATTACTTGCGACAACATGATCTCGTCTGCAAACTAGCATCCATGGGGAATATGATCATTTCTACTTATAATTCAGCATTTAGCTAGTTCCCACAACATGTAAGAACAACATAATTCAACCATAACTTATACGAAGTATTTGTCATGAAACAACTATTTGTGGAAAAACAAAATATAAATAATAGTTTTATTATGCAAACTAAATTTCTATCCGTTTGAAGAATTCAGTCTTTTAAGAACGAATTTCCTCCAAGTTCTTATTTGACTTTACGAAGATCAAAGAACTTCGGTAGTCTCAGACTGAATTTTGGAATTGAGTAACACTTGTTTGTCCTCAGGCTATACAGTATTCACAATAACATTAACAATTTGAGATGATATTCGAAGGCAATGGACGAAAAGTCAGCACTTATCTATTCTAATAACTACTCAATTGGTTGAATAACATTGTGACGTATGATGAAAAGGTGCTGTAGTGAACGAGAACACAATTGGGGACAATTAAATATATCAGATCACAAATTTACAGAATATCTTAGTAAAATCTGAGAACCATACGGTAAATACTTTATTTGCAAAATATTAATCAATTGTCTCAAACTTGACTGTTACTTTTGTAAATATCAATCAGTCATTTCAGACTTCATTGATCTTGTTAACCTTCTGGCTACGGACCTTTCACCTTCGAATGATGATACATACTACTTATATCTGTCGATATCAGTAGCACACACTGAAAGCTGGTGATAACTTTTTCTGATATAAAAGAATCACGATTTTCGGACATTAAGTTTTAAATAATCTGAACAGTCTAAATAATAGGTTTAGTTTTTGTAAATAACAAATACAACTAGGTGTTTATACAACTCTGGTGACAAGCAAATTTACATGATAAACTTCGAAATATTCTATTTTGAAGCAATGAGCATTTCATCAATTCAATCATTATATCTCATGAGTTTTACAAAGAAATAACTTTCTATTCTACTGCTTTACAATCAGCTTCTTATCACAAGCTTACTAATAATGTGACCAAAACTTATTAGTCTTCTTACTTGATCTATGAGTTAGTGAGAGTTATAGTATATCTTTTGGTGATGATTTTTTCTAAACATTTGTGTTATAAGACTGAAGAATAAGTAAACGGAACTTGGGAGTTTTGTGGAGTTTATAATATAGATTGGTTGACAATAATTAAAAGTCCTGTGTATGATTTTCACGATTCTGTAAAGAGTCGGGTAATAAATTTAACGCTCCGAAACAGATTAATAATGTAACATTAACTTTTTCAGTGCTTACTGAATACCAATAGGATCAGGTCTATCCTAAATCATGATGGTAAGTAATATACCATTAAAACTTTAATAGTCGAATTTCACTAGAAATAACTGTCATTACAATAAGATCTAATAATTCAATAGCTTACTTAATTATAATAAAAAAATTATATTCATACATTTTATACTTAGATGTTTTTACTAGAACTCACTGTTAAAAGTGTGTTCCACAGTAATGCAAAGCAGACTACTAAAGTCACATTCAAAAAATATTGAATTTTTCAATGAAAACTATTTTCATTTTGATACTACTAAAATAACTTGACCTGCAATACAAGTCTATTTCGTATAGTGAAATATAAATGCGCCTACATATGCATATGCATTGATGCATATGTTAGATGACGTTTTCACAGAATTTTGGCTGAATGCCAATTCTTTATTTTCTCTCAAGAGGTCAGTCGATTAAACGTAATCAATACAAGTATGATAAAAAGACGTACATTCTTCGTTCTATTCTAACAAGAGAATGAATGTACGTAGATATATATATGCATTTATGTGCATGCATAGTTTGCCCGTAGCATACTAAGTACACTTATATTTTCTCAGACTAAACAAATTTAGTTACAGTAAAAACAAAGGAACAATAACTTCAAATAATGAAAAAATCATAAATTTCACTGAATAAATGATTTTGATAAAAAAAGTTATCATACAAACTTCCGTATCATCAGTTTTAACACCTCATACTATTTGACTTATCATTAAAAACATGAGTTTATTGAGTATAATATGGTCAGTTGTGATTACCACACTAATTTGTCAAATATGATTAGTTTTAGCAAACTTTATAATTTATTAGTTGAATTCATGAGTCAATTAAGACCAAATAAACGTAAAAACCTGGGAGCACTGAACGGCCGTTGCGTCCTAATAT